AACATTTGCCTTATTACCTGACCCACACACACTACACTTGAGGAATTGCCACACGAGTAGCAACCCCCTAGATCTCCAGATCTACCAATTGATCTGTAGTGCTACCCAACAGCTCGGACCAAATACACACACCTCTTTTGAGTAGAAGACATGCTCCATTGTTACACAATAGAAGGCGTGCTTAAGTGACAGACTCACCGAATTTTCATGTCAACAGTTTTGGTAGTAACTGTGAGATTCGAATATGATGGCGACACTCGCTACCCCCTGATTTTTTTTAGTAAACACAATTATTATCATATACAATAATTAGACATACATCACCGCTTACTCACTCTAGCTCTTCCCCCACAATTATAATCACGATACTCACTACTCCCCCAATCATTTGTTATAGACACATTTAAAAATTAAAAAAAAAAAAAAAAAAATTCCTTAATCCTTATTGGTTGTTTTATTAATTAAATTCTTTCTTTTAGGTACAGGTAAAAAAAAAAAAAAAAAAAATAGACAAGCAAACATGGTTACAATTAAACGCCGCAGTACAAAAATACTTATCACATGAAGTGGCAATGAATGACGACCAGTTTCAGCAACTAATACAGGGTGTATTTGAGGCCATAAACGACATAGCAAGCAAGTCGAATGGAACGCGGGAAGCTGACCCTGTGTAAGTGAAACCATTTGCCAGGGAAGAAAATGACGATCCAGTCGAATGGCTAAAAGGTTTCGAATGAATGGCAGAAGCTAATGAGTGGAAGGATGGGAAGAAGTTGAAAATAGCCCCAGGGTACCTGCTAGAGCTGGCAGCTGACTGGTATAAGGAAAGTAAAAACAAAATTACAGTATAAAAAAATGACGAAGAACCTGTGCAAAGCTTCTACCATGTACTAGTGGAACACTTCGCAACATCGGAGAAATGATATAAGTGGCAAATAGAGTTAAACGAGCTGAGTCAGAAGAATGATGAGAAAGTAGAAAAGTATTTCACGAAGTTCAAGTGCTTATTAATGAGAATAGATCCGAAGAGAACAATCCCAAATGACTACGTGATGAGAATGTTTTTGAACAGACTAAAAGGCAATACTGCTACCTTCGTAGCCATGACGTCACCTAGGGACTTAACGAAGGCCATTGCAGCGGTATGCAGAGCAGAAACAGAAAACTATTATGAGCAACAAGCCCGGGGAAGAACAAGGAATGTAACAAAACAACTAGAGAGTAACATAGAAAGGCTTGAGCGACGGATCAAGAAACTTGCGATGAACCAAGAGAAACAACGGAGGAAGTCACGACAAGAACAAAGAGGCAGAGAAAAGAAAAACGTAGTTTGCTACCGTTGTGGAGGAGAAGGACACATAGCCCGGCAGTGTACTGAAGGGAAGGCACGAAAAGGGCTTGTGAAAACTGCGATCCCGAAAGTACAGTACTGCTATGAAGTGGGAGAAAACGAAGGGAAAGAGGAAGAGAAGGAGGCATACATACTGGGGACAGCAGGAAAGAGGGGCAGGCTGAGGCAACAGGAAGGGAGGGACGTGAACGAAGCACGAAAGACATCGAAATCTATAAGAACACAGGAACCAATGGTGATCGTACATCCCCCCAAGGCAACTGGTGTCACCAAGAGACCTAAACGAAAGAGAATGCCATCAACCATCGACGTACTTGACCCATACGACATCTTGGAGGACATCCTAACAATGAAGGCAAATGTGACATATGGGCAGTTGCTGAAGTACACCAATCAGCAGCGAAACTCTCTAAGATACTTAAACAAGTCAAGCCGTAGGAAGAAGCAAACCAGATAAATTCCACAGACACCTTTAAGACAATAGCAGCAAAATGCTATGTGAAAATTGGGGGCAGGACGGTGATTGCCACCCTGGACACAGGAGCAGCAGTGAGTATAATAACAAAAAAATTGCTGGATAAACTTCATTTGGAAATAAACAAGAAATCCATCTCCATCGTCGTCACCGTTAACGGGACGAGGGAAAGGACTCTGGAAAAAGCTAGGGAGGTAGGGATAACCATACAGGGAGTAATCATTCCCGTGTCCTTGCGAGTTATTGAATCTAGGGACAAGACGCTCCTACTGGGAACCGATTGGTTCCAAAAAGGAAAAGCCCAGATACACTTTGATGAGCAAAGAATACTCCTAAAATATCAAGGGAAAGAGTTGGAAGTGCCTATTTTGCATAATAGTATTGAAGGATTAGCACGTCCAGATAAGGTAGAGGCGAATGATTATGAGAGCGGAGATGTCTTCGATGAGTAGGAATACAAGAGCGAAGAAGGATTAGAGAAAGAAGATTATTATATAGAGGAGTGATCAGAGTGAGAAGAGACAATCCTTAAAGAAATTCTGAGTCCTGCTATCTATCTGGCTGCTCTGGAAGAAGTGTCAATGTGGGAAGAGGGAGAGCTCACCATCGAAGAACCGAAGGTGGATCTAGACAATCTGTCGAAGGAAGAGAGGAGAGAGATAGTGAAACTTTTCGAAACAAAAAATGAACTATTTACTAGAAAACTAGACAAACTTACTCAGACCAACATGATTCAGCACGAGATCGATACTGGTGACACTAAACCAATCAAGCAAACATTGTACAAAATGACCTCTGATAAACATAAATATATTGTAAGAGGGAAAGAAAATAGAGGGTAACGCGGTTTGGGTCACGTGATTAATGATCAACCCAGTATCGCGTCG